AGTAGTAGCAGACTATTAGTAGTAGTAGTAGTAGTAGTAGTAGTAGTAGTAGTAGTAGTAGTAGTAATAGTAGTATAAAGTCATAAGTCGTAGTAGTAGTAGTAGTTAGTAGTAGTAGTAGTAGTAGTAGTTGTAGTTAGTAGAGTAGAGTAGTTAGTAGTAGTAGTAGTAGTAGTAGTATTAGTAGTAGTAGTAGTCGTAGTAGTAGTAGTAGTAGTAGTAGTAGTAGTAGTAGTAGTAGTAGTAGTAGTAGTAGTAGTAGTAGTAATAGTAGTAGTAGTAGTCGTAGTCGTAGTCGTAGTCGTAGCAGGAGTAGGAGTAGGAGTAGGAGTCAAGCTAGCCAGCTCGAGCGAGTCAAGCATGGCATGCCCAGTCCCACCCGCCCTCCCACAACATAAGAAGCAAAGCTGGCACAACTGGGGGCCGATGTCACACCGGCCAGCCGGTTTGGTACAGCTGATGCGGCCGCGATGGCGGTTGCCGACGGGAACTGGCGAGCGCGTGTTGAATGCCGCGCACGCATTGCCAGACGAGTCGAGAATGGCCCGGTACACCGCAGGAAGCCAGAGGTGGCCGGAGGAAGCCCGACGGTCTGACAGGACACCCCAAAGCATTTTTGTGAAAAAGCATTAGGTTTTTTTTTTATGTTTTTATGTAGAAATGCTTGCAAACACACGGTGTTCGGTAGGATTCTGACATGAGAGCGCGAGTGTGCTCTTTGTGGTTTTTTTTTGCACAGGATTCGCGGCCTGGGTGCATGACAGAGCATCGCGAGTGCACCGCGCGATGACGTGAAATCGCTGGATTTGACCGAATTCTTAAGATTCCGATGGTTTTCCTATGATTTCAGCAAGAGAGCCCGGGCGGGAAATTTGTACAATTTTTTGTGAAAAAAGCATTGGGTTTTTGATGTTTTTATGTTGAAATGCTTGCAAACACACGGTGTTCGGTAGGATTCTGACATGAACGCGCGCGTGTGCTCTTTGTGGTATTTTTGGCAATGGATTATCGCCGTGGACGACAGGACGTCCATGTCGAGAGGAAAAAAATAAGAAAAATGTTGATTTTGTATTGTTTTTTACAGGTTAGGATGGGACCACCCGGATGCGGCCCCTATCTGCCGGCCTGAGGGGGGCGTAGGAGTATATTCTAATAAGGAATAAGGATAGGAGTCAAGCTAGCCAGCTCGAGCGAGTCAAGCATGGCATGCCCAGTCCCACCCGCCCTCCCACAACATAAGAAGCAAAGCTGGCACAACTGGGGGCCGAAGTCACACCGGCCAGCCGGTTTGGTACAGCTGATGCGGCCGCGATGGCGGTTGCCGACGGGACTGGCGAGCGCGTGTTGAATGCCGCGCACGCATTGCCAGACGAGTCGAGAATGGCCCGGTACACCGCAGGAAGCCAGAGGTGGCCGGAGGAAGCCCGACGGTTTGACAGGACACCCCAAAGCATTTTTGTGAAAAAGCATTAGGTTTTTTTTTATGTTTTTATGTAGAAATGCTTGCAAACACACGGTGTTCGGTAGGATTCTGACATGAACGCGCGAGTGTGCTCTTTGTGGTTTTTTTTTTGCACAGGATTCGCGGCCTGGGTGCATGACAGAGCATCGCGAGTGCACCGCGCGATGACGTGAAATCGCTGGATTGACCGAATTCTTAAGATTCCTATGGTTTTCCTATGATTTCAGCAAGAGAGCCCGGGCGGGAAATTTGTACAATTTTTGTGAAAAAAAACATTGGGTTTTTGATGTTTTTATGTTGAAATGCTTGCAAACACACGGTGTTCGGTAGGATTCTGACATGAACGCGCGCGTGTGTTTTTTGTGGTATTTTTTGCAATGGATTATCGCCGTGGACGACAGGACGTCCATGTCGAGAGGAAAAAATAAGAAAATGTTGATTTTGTATTGTTTTTTACAGGTTAGGATGGGACCACCCGG